CCGAGGGGTTCGACGCCATCGTCGGCATGGCGTCCCGGCTCGGGCTCGCGGACAAGGTCAGCGACCGGGCGAAGGAGGTGCTGAGGAAGCTGGAGGAGGCCAGGGCGTGCCCCAAGGGACGGAGCCGGGACGCGCTCTACGCGGCGTGCCTCCACGCCGCGTGCCGCGTCGAGGGCGCGCCGCGGACGCTCAAGGAGCTGATCGCGGCGACCTCCGACGCGGCGGCGACGAAGAGGGACCTGGGCAAGTTCATCAACGCGATCAAGAGGCACCTCGGGATGGAGGAGCGCGGGCAGGATCAGGCGGCGGACATGAAGGCGAGCGGCGGCGGCGTCGGCGTGGTGGTGCGCGCCGGCGACTACCTGCACCGCTACGGGTCGGCGGTGGGGATGAGCGGCCAGGAGGCGAGCGCGGCGCGGCGCGCGGCGGGCAGGCTGGACAGCCTCGACGTGCGGCGCAACCCGCAGTCCATCGCGGCCGCCATCGTCTACATGGCGGCGCAGGGGAGCAGCGGTGTCCGGAAGAGCGTCCGCCGCCACGGGCGTCAGCGAGTCGACCATCAAGGACGCGTACAAGGACCTGTGCCCGCACGCCGCCCTGCTCTTCGCCTGAAACACACGGCGACGGCGCGACGCGACGCGGCGCTACTTAATTTGTTGTGTGTATTGCGTGTTGTTGGTTACTGACTAGAGATATTGTTAGACAGACCGCATGTACAATTTACTAAGATCATACTATGTACTACTACATTTTTTGTCTGAAATTATCTTCATCTTCTGCAAATATATACAGTACTCTGTTTCTCATATGATTTGTCACAGTGTGATTATGCCCTTCTACCTTTCAATCACAGCCTCACAGGCTATTCGGACTAACGTAGATAAGTTGACAATTACTCAGGAAGATCACAGCCTAGATCACATGTAGTTGACAACTAATTGTAAACAGGCGACTTAATCTAGGGTGGAGCCGATCCAGCTTTGGGCCTCATGGACAGCAGGACAAGCAGCATTGGGCTACTGTCAGCTTGATAGTGGGCCGTCGTTCGTTTGAGTTATCCATTGGCCGCCTGTTGTATCTGTAGGGTTCTAGCGCCGGCTCAACTCGTTAACATTTTCCAACGAGCCAAGCTGAGTCAATCATGAGTCGAGAGAGATAATGAGACATGAGCTTTTCATCCAGCCATAATGAGTACTCCTCCATACTCGTAAATAGGATTGCAAGTGGGACGGGTTGTGGGCCGTCCCGCCCCGCCCCACAACGGCCGCAAACTCTCTGTGCATGCAAACGGCAACACGCCCCGCACGGCTCACGGGATTGTTCAGCCCGACGGGCGCCGCGGGACAGCCCGCAATGTGCAGACATTCGTTTAATTAGGTTCATCAACCAGCAACAAGACTGGATTATTTCACGTGAAAACAGTTATACAAGCACATAAGCACTCCATGTCCCAAATCAAGCTAGGATTAATCCTAGCAAGAGAAGGAAGAAAGCTATAAAATTGCAGATTAAACCTATCAAGAGAGGGAAGAAAATACAAAATTGCAAAAAACAAGAGGGTAGTGAACAGGAAACAGTTTGAAAGCTACTAGCTCAAGAACATGCAAGAGAACTCACAGATTTAGCAGAGCCACAAGCACTAATATTAATAATTGACATGTCAAGTGATTAACAACATCAAACAGCTACAATCCTAACACAGCTCGACATTGCTCAACTTTGTGTAATATCTTGATTAGAAAATCCTCAATCTCACTCTTCGTAGTATGGTTTAAATTCGATTCCCTGCGCTGAAGTATAAATTGATCAGTCAATACATAACACATTTGATTACTTTGCTTGCACACATCAAACAAATCACAGGAAGTGGCACATCAAACAAATCTTGAACAAGAACCGAAGAAGAAGGAAAAAGAACTGACCGGCCGTCGTCGCTGCCGCACAAGGTGTGCCAGCCAAATGGAACTGCAACTCCCTGCTCCCTTGCCGATGGAGCCCGTAGTGGGTAGAGAGCTGGAGGCGGCAACACGGGCAGCGTTGCAGCGATGGGGGGAGGTGGATTGTTGGAAGAGCGATGGAGGGCGTTCGCTGCTGGATGGATGGGCGATGAGGAAGTCGGCGTCGGCGACGAGAGTAGCAGCGGCTGCGGCGCTGTCTCGCCACCGCCGAATCCAGCGGCATCTCCCCTTCTGGCTTCTCGTGCAATCGTGCCCTAATGCCATGGCGCCCAGCGGGCTGTGCGGGATGGGCCAAACAATTTTGCAAGGTCCACGCGGGATGGCCCGCCCGCAAATTTGCGGGCTTTTTTTGTGGGGCGGGACTGCGGGCCGAAAAAAAGCCCGCCCCACTTGCTCCCCTACTCGTAAAGGAAATCGGTTAGGATAATGTTTAAGTCAAACCTTGGGAATATAAATCATGAATAACTTTTAAGTTGTTGAGTTTGAAAATATAAAAATTATATGAATAGATTTGTCTTGAAAAATACTTTCATAAAAGTATACATATATCACTTTTCAATAAATATTTTTATAGAAAAAAAAAGTCAAAGTTGTGTTTTGGAGACCGTGTCACTGTCATAAACGACTTTCTTTACGAGTACGGAGGGAGTACGCATCTGATTATTTATGTTCTCTGTTGTCGTTGTCGTTCGATTTCCATGAGGTCTCTTCCTTAGTGCTCGAGCTTCTTCTTCCTATGCTTTGCTGGCTCCAACCACCATTGTGATGGTCATCTTTGCTCACAACCCTCATATCCTCCATGCCGCTCCTAATGGGGAACAAACCTATTCTACCTCTCTCAGCTTCTGCCTTTAATCGAATCACATCTCTCAACCAAAAAATTGGGCATAATGCCTACCGAACTCTAAACCCCGAAGCAAGTATAGTCCTAAGATAGTATATTGAGCCCGTTTTGACTTATGTGACATCCACATGGCATATTGATTATGTCTTCGTCTCATGTGATGTTATAATCGGTAACAAAATATTTAAAAGGAACAACCCACATGGAGCCCATATGTCAGTGGCACTATATTCTTCTTCCAACCTCCTCTCTTTTTTCATCTCTTCACCTCTTCCCTCTCTTCCTCATGATCTCTAGGCCGGCAGTCGCAGGGAGAAAAGAGGTGGGTAGTGGGAGAGGAGCAAGGCGGTGGCGGCTTCTCCTCTCTACCGAGCGGCGCAAGCGGTGGTGGCCAGATATGGAGTAGCTCCCAACTGCTCCAACCCCTGCGAGCTCACCGAGGTCAGCTGCCTTTTGACTCCCCGGTAACCTCGATCTCAAGATTTACAACTGTTGCCATGTCATGGAGCTCAATGACGCCATTGTCACCCGCCGCTTGAGATAGAGGAGACGGCAGCCGCCAAACCAAAAGATCCCTTGCCACCCACCATCAAGGTTAGAGAGGGGCAACGTGGGAAAGGTGGGCCAAGCCCAGATACGGCCGTCCTTTTGCTCCAGCTCCATGTCCTCTTCCTGGATCCCCTTCGCCTTCGTCATGGGAACCCGAGCTTCGTCTGTGTCGCCACAAGCTCGCCGGCCACTAGGCTATAGCGGTCAACGCACTACACCACCACCAGCCATTGCTGATGAGCTCGTGGTGGGGTTCACGTGAGCTTAGATGGGTAACTAGGTTCACCCGTCTCCTTATCAGCAAACTCGCGCCTCTTGTTAGATTGAGGGGTAGCAGCTCTATAGTCCGTATTGCCGCTAGACTGTCCACCTCCACTGTTGAGTCATTGACTCCTTGGACAACAACGGCCGCCTGGTGTGTATGCCTTATTCAAAGGAACGGAACGTGTGTTGATCTAGTATATAGAGTACTCCCATCATTCCATATTATAAGTTGTTTGAGTTTTTTACTAATCGAACTTTTATAAGATTAACCTAGTTTATAGAAAAACACAGTAACATTTTTAACACAAAACAAACATATTATTAAAATATATTCAATGTTATATTTAATGAAACTAATCAAATGCAGTAGATGTTTTTAATTTTTTCTATAACCTTGGTCAAAACTAAAGAAGTTTGATTAGAAAAAAAATAAAATGACTTATAATATTAAAAGGAGGAAGTAATTGATTGCTAAGAAAAATAAATTGAGTCACTCGACAAATAAATAGCCCCTAATAACTTTGGCTATCTCGGCCTCGAGGTAGCGAAGTAGTACAGATCAAGTGACTCAGAAGTAGCTCAATACACTTGTGTAACAACTTTTGGATTTATGCAAAGCAACTAGTGAAAGTGATAAAATGCCCTATTTGATTCAGCTTAAGATTATTATAATCTAGCTTATTAGGAGTAAGCTGAAACAAATAAATAGATTATTATAGTAGATTATTATAATCTATAAGCCAAATTATTATAATCTGATAAGCTGCTTTAGATGAGCTTTTTTTAAATTATTGAGTGGCTAAAGACCCAATATCCCTACATACTTAAGAAAAATTACCCACCTATGCCATCAACCGAACAGATAGCTGAGGGCATTATAGACTTTAGCCATTCAAACCCAATAATTCATGCCTTCAATAATCCAGACAAACAAACAACTCACAGCTTATTCTATGCCAGCTTATTATAATCTAGCTTACAGTAATCTGGCTTAATAATTTAGATTATAATAATCATAAGTTGAAACAAATAGCGCCAAAGTTAATTATGTCGTTATTGGCCTTAAAAAGTCAAAGCAAAATTGCTTCGTACGAAAATAACGCATATGGCTCTGCTAGGTTGCTATCCCTAGGTGCAACCGTGCAAGCAGCGGCCAGCGATCACTCGAGAGCTCTCACGGTCACGGGCTCACGGCATGCTGGCGTTCATCGTATCGGCGATCCAACAGGCAACAGACTGACACGAACTAATCTGAAAATGCAATTTAATATTGGGCCTATTTGGCACAGCTTCAACTCTAGCTCCACCTCTTCTGGAGCTAGAACTCAGCTAAACAGTTTCAACTTTACTAAAATTGGGAGTGGAGTTGGGTGAAGCTCTTTCATAAAAAAGTAAAATGTACCAGCGGTTCTTAAACTTATCAGGAGGTTTCACTTGGTCCATGAACTTGCAAAGCGCACATTGAGATCTCTAAATTTAGTTTATTGTATCATCTCGGTCTAAAACCGCGTTTGACCGTGGTCATGCCTATGTGGCACGCCACGTGGATGATGACATGGACTTTTTTTATTTTTTCTCCTTTCTTCCTTCTTTTTTTCTCCCTTCTCCTTTTTTTTTTCTCCCGCGCCTCCGCCGGTCGACGCCGAGTCCACACCAACGCGCCGGCAGCTCCTCGCCGCCGGCAAGCCCATCCAACACCTCGGCTGCTCGTCGTTGTCCACCACCACTCCATCAGCGCAAACAACAGCCAAACAACAGCAACAAGTCAGATCCAGTGCCGCCGTCCTCCTCGAGTCGCCGCCATCCCCCTCCCTCCCGTCAGTGCTGTCGTCCTCCTCCCCCAGTCACCGCCCTTCTCCACCCATCGCCGCCGCTGTCCTCCCCCCATCAACGCCGCCGTCTTTCTCCCCGCGCGCTTGCCACCGTCGCGCGCTCGCCTCCAGCACGGCGGCTCAGCAAAACCGCGGCAGTGGCAGCTCCCATGGCGTGCGGTGGCTCGGTTGCCGCGCACGCCATCATCTCTTTCCCGTTCCATACTCTTCCGTCCATGCCGATCATTTTCTCCCTTGACACCAATTCATTTCATCCACTGCAGCGACGGGAACGCCGACGTGCCCACGAGAGCTCCAGAGCGCGCTCCAAGCGTCGCCGTGGTGGCATCGTTGCCGTCGCAATCGATCTGGACCAAGTCGGGCCAAGCCGTCGCGCCATTGTATTCGCCTCGTACTCCTCTCCATTTCCCCTCAAGAACCATGAAGAATGGAGCTCCGAAGAGGGAGATCGACCTCACCTTCCTCAACATCTCCCCCTGACTTCAATCTTCGATTCCAGCCGCTCCGGTGAGCTTCACCTCGATTCATCACACCTACACCATCCTAGGGACTTCACTAACATCAAGTGACCCCATGCATGCCAGGTTGTTTGATAGATCGAGCCATCGCCGTTCACCCGAGAAGGAGCGCCGCCGCCGAGCCATTCCACGAGCCGCCACTGACAACCAAGGTTGCCCAACACTTTCTAGTGCCTCGGTGAGCTTCCTGAGTACCCAAGAACACACATGCATGCACCAACCCGAGTAGATCCGGTTCACTTTGTGACATGCATGTACAACCCGAACACCGCCGCCGCTTCCACCGCCGTCGCCATCTATTCCGGCCACCTCCCACCCGTCAGTGCCGCCGTCCTCCTCCCCTAGTCACCGCCCTTCTCCCCCCATCGCCGCCGCTGTCCTCCCCCTATCAACGCCGCCGTCTTCCACCCCATCCGCTTGTTGCCGTCGCGCGCTCGCCTCCAGCACGACGGCTCGGCAAAACCGCGTGCAGGAGAAAAAAAAAAGAGAAGAGGGAGAAAAAAAAAGGGAAAAATGGAGAGAAAATTCCATTTCATCGTCACGTAGGCAAGACCACGCGCGGTCAAACGCGGCTTTGGACCCGGATGACACAATAAATCAAGTTTAGGGATCTCGACGTGCGCTTTACAAGTTTGTGGACCTAAGTGAAACCTCCTGACAACTTTAAGGACCGCTGGTGTATTTTACTCTTCATAAAATGTACTAGAGTTGTGGTGCTGGGTTTAGGCAGCTCCACAACTCCACTCCAGACTCAACTCCTGGAGTTAAGTTTAGGAGTTGGAGCTGTACCAAACAAGCCCTTACTACTACGTTGGCACGTAAACCAATCAGAAAGAAGCAGAGCTCGAAAAGATGCAGAGAGTTGAAGTGCATGCAAGCAAGATACTACAAATTATGATATGAATTCACATTCCCAATCATTTTCATATACGTTACATCGCATAGAGATTAGGCATTCTTACATATGACAAGAATTGATCCTATACAACTCAAAGAAAGAATCGAGCAAAACAACTAAAAACTACTACTCCCTCCGTCCCACAATATAAGGGATTTTGAGTTTTTGCTTGCAATGTTTGACCACTCGTTTTATACAATTTTTTTTTTGCAAATATAAAAAACGAAAAGTTATGCTTAAAAAATAAATAATAATTTCAAAAATTTTTGAATAAGACGAGTGGTCAAACGTTACAAGCAAAAACCCAAAATCCCTTATATTCTGAGCAGAGGGAGTACCAAAGACTAGTAATTAGTTGCTCCAGCTAGCTCTCTTCCTCTCCTCCGCCGTCAGCAGTCGCAGAGACTTGCCGGCGACCGTCGGTCTTCCGGGCAGTACACTTGTCCTTCGACTTCGCGCGTGGTCATGGCCTGGAGCGCGGCGCACGGCGGCGTCGGTGGCCGTGGAGGAGTCGACGGACGGCGCCGCGGCTGCAGGCTGCAGAATCACCTGAACCTGGCCCCTGGCAACGCGCACGGGGCGGAAGGGATCGTCGTGCGGGAACCCGACCTTGTAGACGACGTCGAGGAAGCCGTCCTCGTCGGCGGAGACGACGACCGCGTCGAGCCGGAGCACGAGGTGGCGCGTCTGGTGGCCCGTGACGCTGATCTTGCCTACGCGGGTGCGCACGCTCACCTGCGTGCCCTTCTCGATCGTCGGCGTCGGCTCGTTGGCGGTGGCAGCGGCGGCGGCCGACGTCGCGGGACGACCGGGCACGGGAGGCGGCGCCGGCATGGCCAGGACGTCGGCGGAGCGCTCGTCGTCAGGCGAAGGATGAAGTGGAGGAGGCGTCGAGGACCTCTTCGCGACGCGTCCTGTCGGCGCGAGCTCCGGTGATCTTCTTCTCCTGCTCTCCATCTCACGGCGGAGCCTTTTGATGCCGGCGGACCGCACCATCATGGAAGGCATGGTGGCGCGGTGGAAACAATCTAGCAATCGTGGATCGGCGACGACTGCGGTTGAGGTTTGGTTGGATCGAGCGAGAGGCCGATCGATCGAGAGAGCAATATATTCCAAAGAACAAGCGCGAGGTGATCAGAAGTGAACGCGAGATGATGAGAGTGCAGAGGAGGAGGGGGTGCGAAAGTTATATAGCCGGCGTTTGGCGTGTTCAAATCAGAATCGGAGTCGGAGACGCGAGACGCCCTTCCCGCCATCTCTGCTTTGCTCCCACTCTGTTATTGAAAAAGTCTCCAACTGGTATTGGGCTGGGCTGGGCCGGTAGAGGAGAAGCGGGCTGAGATGCATAGAACAAATATAAGTTTAGGCCTTGTTCGGCACGCATGTTTCCAATCCAGGCCAGGAATTGATCCAGGCCAGGTTTCAGTGGATCCGGGTGGATTCACTGGAACCACCTGTGGATTGAATCCATTCCTTTTTTCAATCCACCTCTTCAAAAATCTGTGTTCGGTTTGACCTGGAATGGAATGAAGCCATTCAAGCTGCCGTGGATTGTCGATCGATCAGATCCAGTGATTCAGAACTCAAAACATTCAGTTAATGTCATCACTCATTAGAATTCAGAATCACGCACATTTCTAATTTCTAACAGTAATAGTATATTGCAGGAGTTAATTAACCAAAATTCCCAAATGGAAAGACAGGGAACACCCTGAATAGCATCATGACAATTCTTCACCATATTCAGTTGCTGTCATCATTCATCAGAATTCAGAACATCATGCATATTTCTATCTAGTTAAGCATGAACAGTAATATATTTCAGGATTAAGCACATTCTTTTCAGGACTTCATCACTAATCAATCTAGCTTCGCCTTCCTCCGGTCCCTCTGGTAGCAATCCATCGACATTTGGGAATATCAACTGATTATCCGCTGCAGCCATAGCAAAGAAATCTTGCGGTTAGACTTAGACAGTGTGATATAAGAGGCAATTTAGCTGAAAAAAAATATTTGCATCATCTGTATATATGTGATACAAATTGTTCTAACAACAGGAAAGTTTCTATAGCTGCAATTAAGGCATTTCAGTTTGAATAAGACCTACTTAACAGGAGACAGATATTCACCAATAGCCCATATTTTCATTACAACGATCCCTTTAGTGCAAAATACAATTGATTTCATAACTTGCAAGACACTCTTACATATAATGTTCTATATTAAATGTAGGTTTGCCTTCACACATGCATGTACTAATCAGACAACTAACAACAGGGGCCAATATTACAATAGTAAAATTCATCTTAGTGCGAATTCCAGGGAGAGGAAAATGGCTAAGATTTAATGAATCAGAAACAGAAAGATGGAAATGGAAAAGGTTTATAATTAGCATAGTAGTTTCTTGAGGCAGCCAGTGTTGGCTAAAATTAAGTATCCAAGCTAAAAAGCAGCTAATCCATGAGGACATGTGGTTATCAAAATCTGAATAATGAACAGCAATGCCATCAAGAACTGGCAAAAACTGGTTATCAAAGGATTTTCTCTTATGCAACACTGAATCTAATAATAATCTTGACTTAGCCTGGATTGGGTGAGTACAAAAACAGAGATGGAGCACCAGTCCAGTTACAGTGACATGTTTTTTTTCAGCATAATTTCCTGGTTCATTCGAGAAGAAGACAAACTAAAAGGGAAGCTGGTTGACAGATCCATGGCTATGCAACACATCGATCCATCCGCCAAGATCTAGGGCAAGAAACAGAAGCAAGAACCTAGGGCTCTTCCACCAAGAATCCCCCGCAACACCGCAAGAACCTAAACCACAGACCAAATCTCCAAGAACCCATCACGATTCCTTCCCCTCTCCCCCACCCTCTACGCGGATCGGAATCCCCAAGAAACACCAGCCCTTGGAAAGCCCCCATTTGGGCGGAAGAAGAGCAGCAGCAGCACAAGAACCCTAGCAAGCAAGAACCCTAGCGCCGGGAAGAGAAAGGAACAAGGAAGACGACGGTGATGCGTTACCGGCGAGAAGGCGGCGGAGAGCGTGGACGTCGGATGGGAAGCGGTCGCCGTCGCCGTTGACGTCGGTGCGCCGCCGCGCCGTTTCCTCGCTTCTCCTCTCGCGTCGCCTCGCGTCCGGATTGGAACCGGAGGGTCGGAGGTGGGGAATGAATCCGGGCCAGGAACAGGGGGAGGCAGGCCAAACCGGGCCCGTTTCCAATCCGGGCCAGCCGAAACGAACGACGCTTCCGGGCCAGACCAGATTTGGAAACGGGCCACTTCGTTCCGGCCGGAACAGAGGCCGTTCTGGGCCGTTCCTGGCGCTGCCGAACGAGGCCTTATTGGGATATGATCACCAAAATGCACTAAGTATTATTATTATTATTATTGCCTGGCATGATAGAAGAATTGATTATTCCTCACCCGACGTACTGATGCTGAATCACTCCTCACGCTTCTCATGCATATAACTTCATCTTATTAATGGACCATCTTGCTATATAAGAATCTCTGTAAAGGTGATTACGACATTGGTGCTAAATCGGGTGAAACGTGTGTATATATATTCGGATTCCAAATTTTAAAAAATATATATATAAAGAATGTCTCTATATTAATTTTTTTACTTATAAATTTGTATGTATAAGTTTTAGTGTATAATTTTTTTAACAGTTTCTCATGATGGACCAGTGCACGTGGGCCGGTTCAAATGTTTACAAGTGCCAGGGCACGCGTGAGCTCTGCTCATTAGACCTACCCTCTCTAATTTTTTTTTCGGGAATCCTACCCTCTCTAAATTGTACACTACATAACTCTATAAAAGAATTTTTTTTAAAAAAAGAAAAAACTCTACAATTTGACGTTGATTACAGTTGTATTGATTGTTTTTTTTCACATTGGGCGGGTCTAATAGGCGAATTATTTTTCCGTTAAAGCAACTTCTCTAAGGTCAAAGTTGTCAATCACAATATGAAAAGGTCAATTGTCATTATCTCTATCATTGTTCTTTCCGGCGCGCATCTCTTAGGTGGCATAGGTGGAACCCTAAGATCATGCTTTCGCCACAGTTTTCCACTTGTCTATGTCCCTCTACCGCTGGAACATGCCACTGGAGGTATGGATGGTTGTGAGGAAGGCGGTTTGGGTGCCCATGGAGATGACAACGTTGACTCTACCCGAGGATTGCCGGGGAGGTCTCTTCCATTGTCATTATGTCTATCATTGTATAATTTGGTGTCTTCCAAGTAGTGGCCGCAACGAAGGATGACGGTGGCCGACGATAGAGGCTGCCATGCAGGGTGGCCAGTGGTGTGAGGAGCAGAAGGTGATGAGGAATAGCATCATTGAGTCATCTCCTTACTACCGACGTCTTTGTTTTCTCCTCGAATCCCCTCCAATTCTATGTGGGTGGGGCTTCTTCTCTACCTTCCCTAAATGGCATCGGCGAGTGAAGGCATTAGGAGCGAAGAGCTGCTAGATCTAGATCTTGCAAGGATCCTACTAGCAGCAGGGTACCAGAGGAGTGGTTGGAGGCGGTACATATGTGGCAGTATGGCGTATTCATGACGATGGTGGGTGCTGTGAATTGGGGCAACAACACGACAGTGACAATGTCCTTACAATCCTTCTGCTATGCGTCTTATTTCTTATGCCAGCCATGCAACAATATCTTTCCGTAACTTTGCTCAGGTCAAATGATAGTTTATTCAAATTTCAACTTTTGCTTGGAAAATTCATTAGAAATTTCTACACCCCATGTTTTTGCTTTCCGCAATATGAAACATCGTTTTCCAGTTTTTTTTTAAGGACGATCTCCTATATGATGACACCGAATATATGCTAATGAATTCCCACAAATCACAAAAACATCTGCAGAAGTGAACGGACGCCCCCGTTGGTTTACTTCAATAAATAGCATGTAAGAGTATATATTAGCACTAAGGGCCGGCCTTGGAGGGGGCGAGCGGTGCGGCTGCTATGGGCCCCCAAATCATAGGGCCCCACCCCCCGGGTGCCAAAGCCTCTCTGCTGCTGTGCCATGATGGCCCAACGGGAGGCAGCAAACCGATGCGATGCGACGATGCGAACGGAACATCCCAATTCCTACGCAAGATCGCTGCCGCACGGACTGTCGCACGTCCTCCGGATTCCCAATTCGAGCGACGCGAGCACGCGTTCATTCCACATCGGCCGCGCATCAGCCATACCTGCGCGAGCGACGACCGTGCGCGGCGCGCCTTGCCGCCTGCCAAGTTGCCGTCGACCGCCACGGCGTCGTCATCGTTGCCTGCTGCTGCAAGAGCCTGAAGTCTGCAACTGCTGATTGCTGTACATATTGCGCGCCTCAGCCTGACGATCAAGACTGAAGTCTCAACTCTCAAGAGGTGTCAAGGATGCGAGGTGATCAGGTGAGCATAAGCAAGCCAGCAACACCATCGCCATCGCCAATTGAAATTTTGTAGTTCTATATGATTCTATCTGTTGGCTGTTAGCCTGTTGCCATCATGCCATGTACTGATGAACAGACGTATACAGTGCATTACTACTATGTCCTATGTTACGGTAATAGGTTCGTAACTTAGGGTGTGTTTAGTTCACGCTAAAATTAAAAGTTTGGTTGAAATTGGAACGATGTGATGGAAAAGTTGAAAGTTTATGTGTGTAGGAAAGTTTTGATGTGATGAAAAAGTTAGAAGTTTGTGTTGAGATTATAGGTATATAATGATTTAATCTATTCCATAAATAAATCATGACATTACAGATGAAAACTAGCATGAACGCATCATTAGATCTACACATGTAAACTACACAGTATAACATGAATAGATCAAATATGCGCAACATATTGAACACGTACCGAGGTGGCGGAAAGACTGGCTGCTCGATCGAAACTTTTCGCAGGCGTCTACGAAGGCACGCAGCACGCGAGCGAAGAGGAAGACGAGCCGTCGCGGACGAACAGGGAGCAGTCGCGCAAAGCGCTTCCCAAAAACCTTATTGCCGCCTTCTCCCGGTGCAGAACGTCGAAGGAAGAGGTTCCGGAGACCTGCTCTCCCGATCGCAGGTGCACGCCGGCGAGCGGGGTGGAGTAATCTACGAGCGACGGCGCAGCACATAGTTGAAAGCAAACCCTAGATTGATTTCGCGTGTGTTGCGTGAAGGCGGCGGCTCAGTTTATATAGAGAAGGGTCGCTTGATCAAGGCGCCCGCACGATCTCCACTGCGCGTAACCGAACCGGATAAGTCGCGTGTAACATATCCGAACTCCACGCCGTTTGCACGCACCGGATTTTTCGGAACGTTTCCAAAACAAAAACGAATCCGAATTTGCAGCAAAACAAAACTGCATCTGCGCAAGGTGAGGAACCAATTTTGACAGACCATTCGACGCGTACGTTGTGCACGAGCACCGCCTGCCCGGTGAGGCGAGCGAGCGCACGCGTGTGTTCCCCACATGCTTCAAGTGGCTAGGAGGGCATCCTCCCTTTTAAGGAGGTCCCCCTCTCCTAGAATAAGCAAGGTGGTATTAAACTCCACATGCATGCCATCCCATGAGGTGGGCTTTTGTGATTTTTCAAAGAATTAATCTTCGAGTGGGCTAAGGCCCATTCATTAATTCCAACAGTTTTAAAAAAAAAGTTTGGAACTAAAATCGGCCTTACTGACTTTGTGTCTCTCTCTTTTTAGTTGTTTACAAAATCAGAGTTCAGAGAGATTGAGCTTGGATACTGGAGTTGGACACTTGGACCAATAGTTGGATGAGGGCGGGAAGCTGTGCTAGTGTGTGTTGCCGGTTCACTTGCCGTGTGCACTGCGATCAGTTAATTGGTAAGATTCGTAATTTGAATTTATAGTTTTATCATGTCATTTATATGAGTTAAGCTATCATAAATAATATTATTTTTTGCCAGTGCCTGTGACCGTGCCATATGTTGAAAGAAGCATTTTAAAGTTGAAATTGTTGAAGAACTATTTGAGATCTAAAATTTCCAAGAAAGACTAAATGGTTTGACAATTTTGGGCATTAAGAAGAAATTATTGATATTGACACCATCATCAATGACTTCACGTTTAAAAATGTCCAAAGAAAATTTTTAAGGTAATAGGCATGATTTTTTATATAAATATTATTTTTGCGATTTAAGTGTTTGTCGGTAATATATATTTACTGGCTATTATTTACATACCTTAAGGTTATTATGTTTAGTTTCCCACTGAGACTCTAAAAACTTAGACCGGCCGCACTGCATCCCGGCACACCAGCGTACATAACACACGCACACAGCCGCTGGAAAAGTTTCTGCTCGGCATAGGCAAAATACAGTTACACATTTATACATCACAAACAGAGTGCCATCCTAACATTCTCTTAATTAGTACCAGTTACAATTAGCTTAGGGTTGTTAGTTGTGGCCCATATAGCACGCATACCTTCAGTAGCATATATATATGTATCAGTATTAGTATGGAAGAGAGATGGTCGTGCCAATTAGTACTTTATTTTGCTGTTATAATCCTATGTTCAAAACACTGACCCAAGATCCTCTGGTGAATGGTAGTTAGAGTACTAGATTAAGTTAGGCATTGCTATGACAAGAATCCTGTACAAACTCAAACAAGAATCGATGAGAAGAACACAAGAATTTGCATATAGGCACATCGATCGGCAACATCGCAGTGTGCCTTCAGTGACGCAAAAACATATACTTCAGACTACTGACCGCCTGATGGCACGCAGCGACGCGAAAACCCGAGTGCTTGACAACATCTCGAGATGTCAAATGTATGGTTCTTGAGATGCTAGACATGATCTTGCCAACCCGGTCGCGCACCCTCACCCGCACCGCCCGCTTCTTGACCGGCCCGTCGCCGGCGCCGGCGCCGGCCAACGCAGGGCGCCCCGCCGACCGGGCGAAGACGGCGGCGGAGCGCTCCTCGTTGTTCTCTATCCATGGCGACCACTTCACGTCCAGCGCCGTGGCGTGGCGCGGGCGGTACGACGACGACGCCGGCGGGAGGACGACGCGGCGGCGGACGCGCTCCCTGCTAGGAGGAGCCGCCGCGGCGGCGGCGGCGGTGGAGTCGGCGGTGGTGGCGAACCTCCTGGCGGCGTCGCGTCCTGTGGTCGCGATCGTGACGCGCTCCGGCCTCCTGCTCCGCCGCCGCCGCCTCTCGAACTCGCAGCTGATCCTTCGCCTGTAGGCTATCGTCGCCATCAGCATAGGCAGTACCAACTGGAGTTGTGGATCGATGGGAGACTTGGTAATTGGAACGATCGATGACAGAAAAAAAAAATCCAAGAACAAGTGCAAGAGGAAGACGAGATCGCAACGGAATCGCGATGCCGGAGACGAGGGAGTCACAGTTATAGCCGGCGATTTTCCGGCCGTGTGCTCGTCGTGTCGGAGTCGGAGACGTTTAGCCCAGAGCAAATGTCGGAGACGTTCATGAGAGTTCTTACCAGACCAAAACAGTGAAATACGTATACTAGAAGTCTAGAGCGAGTCCTTCGGGGTCCTGTCATGATAGGTAAGCTGATTATGCCTCAAGTTATTGTGCTTATGATTGCTAGTCACATTGTCTCGCTGATGCATATGCTTATCCATAACGTTTATCGGCAGTAAAAATAATTTATGGGTAAAATTTTTGTATACGTGTCCTTGATGACTCAGAAGCAGATGTTGTATAAACTACGATAAAAAAAATCACTAAATCTACTAAAGATTTAAGTTTTAAAATTTAAATTTTAGCTTACAAGTATAAACATAAGTGAAACAATGATACAGAGGTGCTAACACGGGGGGGAGATAAATCTTATCATCGTGTATTGTGACTATACTCTCTTGAGGCACCTTAGAAATATTTTTGCATTCTATGGATTGTACATATCTATACTACAGTTCTACTCCTATTCGGCTTTCGATTTTCTCCAGGTTTTGCGCGCAAGAGAAAATTTTGGAAAAGGTCAGACGCCTTCACTAAGTGAAGACCGGTCAAAACCGCAATTTCCCATTCTTGTTCTTTGATGAAACACCTAATACGATCAAACTGAATGTTTACTACAGTACGAAAAATTCTCACAGAACAGCCCTGCAGAAAACGGTGACTCAAACAGCATATATTACCACTGCCATCCCGGCACAACAGCATACATAGGCACACTGCAGCCTACAAGTTTCTGTTGGGCAAAGGCAATAGTACAATTACACATCAAACACACCCTCACACAGAGAGAGAGAGAGAGAATCCCTAGAACACCTGCTTAATCAACAGGTTACAATTAGCTTAGGGTTGTGGCAGAGAACATATATATAGCACATTTATGCCTCTCCAGCATAGCACTGCATATATGTAGCAGCAGTAGAGGGAGATGATCACACTGCCAGTTAATCAGCAGCAGCAAAGCACACCGGATAGAGATAGATTCAGGGATAGATAAATAGATAGATAGATAGATTTGATTGATTTGAGGAAGAAGGGACGTAGGTGGTGGATATATATAGGTAGATAGATCGATGTAGACATGTAGTAGTAGTAGTGGCACGAACACACACACTCACACTAGCATGGCTGCATGACAGAAGAGAGGGAGCATGCTTAGGTAGGTTTATCTGATCTGGAACGGCGGGTTCCCGGTGCCCTGGTGGCTCCGGCCGGCGTCCTGGTCGGCGTGGCGGCAGTTCTCGCCGTGCGCCGTGTCCGCCGCGCTCTTCCGGCGCCGCTCGTTGTGCCCGGCCAGCCGCCGCCGGCAGCTCCTCTTCGCGTCGTCGAACTCCGTCAGCTCATGGAACCTGCACATCAACACATACACATTACAGGACAAGATGATGATGAAGCTTCATCACAAGCAGAAACACACAAAAGACCTGAAGGAGCTATCTATTGGAAGCATGTGTGTGAGGGCAGTGACTATCATGCATAATGCACTCTTGTCAAATCGGCGAAAAGATGAGAGGTACACAAATGCATTCAACGCGAACCACCGAAAGCTATAGCATTTGCATCCGGACAGACAAGGGTTTTTACTGCCGGAATCTGCTGCTGCTGCTGTGCCAGCAGTGCATGTGATGTGCATGCAGAGAGAGAAAAAGCAGAGGACAAGAAAAAGCAAAGCTTGACGCGTATTATATGCGTACTGAGAATGATCAAAACCTATTTAAATACCAAAAGCTGAAGAAAACATTCCTTAATCCTACTTGTTTCAGATCAAAAAAACACCTGAGGAGTAGAGAACAAGTGCTTGTTTCTTTCATCTGTTCCTTAACTATCCTTTTCGTCAGAAATTAAAAAAACTGTGTTTCAGATATGATGATAATCTCACTAGTGTTCTACCACTGAAGCTTGCAGCTGAAGAGGTTCTACAAACTTCATCCTTTGCAAGCAATTAAAGATGTACTCCTACATCTACTCGAAAGGCAGATGGTGTCAGGGTGTCATTATTCATTCTTGCTGAAGGTAATGAGCATGAGCAGCATGATCATTGTCCCTGCTAGGACACACTAAACCAAAAGGACCACAAAGTGTTTTGTTTGATCCACTTAAGTTGCTCTCACTTATGAGCAATCAATAACTGCTGTAGCAAGTCTTTATCAAACCCATAAACAGCACCAGGACAGCATGAACAAGGCCAGGCCAGCGACCAGCTGCTCTGGCAAAAAGAACTGGTCCAATAGCGTGATAATATTTATTAACTTTTTACTTAAGCTAGCCAGCAGCTTCCTATGATCATGTGATGCACATGAATCTGAAAGGGTCAGCAATATCAAAGACCACTAAAAAAGAATAAAACCTAACAGTGGAATGACTCATCTAACCTGGGAAATGCCAACATGGCACCTGTTTGGAACATGCAACTGCAGTGTCAAATGTTCCCAAGTGATAAAACAGAGAGAGATAGCACAAGAAACATAAAGCATCAGAAAATAGCAACCGGACGAGGTTTTGGCCGACAGTGAACCAATCTTGGACTGACAAAAATCTTCCCACGGCATCAAACACACCACACACAAACATAGATAGCAGCAAAGATCTGCTTGTTTGCAGCTAAAATTGGGACCAAATCAAGGAGCTGCCTTGGAGATGCAGAGCAAAGTTGGATCTGGTCAAGCTCTCTGATCTCTCGCCACCGACAAAAGATATTAGAGTAGTAAAGTTCATGGCCACTACTACCCTTTCCAAGCAAGCAAGAAATGGAGTAATGGACAATGATGTCCACTATGGTGTGTGCCTCTATATGGTGCATAAGCAAAGTGAAAGAATCCTGTGAATGTGATGAAAACCTAGTTTCCTTATCCTACTTTTCACCACCCTGCTGGAACAAACGGATGCATAGTTACAGTGACAAGACCCAAGAACAGCGACTTGCACTAATGCAACTTTTTTTTTTTTGAGGAGAGAAATCTGTAACACTGGCCTAAAATGACCATTAATCACAGCCTCAGTATTAGACCTTTTCAGGCTTACAGCCTCAAAAAGCAGCACCCAAGGACACTAATTTGCACTTAAGCACAAGGAAAAGAATCAGAGCAAACATGGAGAATATAATATTGGAATTCTTTTTTGCTTGGAAATTAGAAGGATGTAGCCCATGATCCAAGAACAGTTCATCATATATGTTGCTTAGACCCTGAAAGCCATCCATGATCCACCATCAAGACGAAACGATTCTTAATCTTAGAAAAGAGATATTTCACTTTTTTATTTTTTATTTTTTGGGGGTGAGGGGGAGTCGCAGGAGGAAGAAGTTTTGGGTATGAACATGGCCGTACCGGCTGCATTGCTGGCAGAAGCGCTGACGGAGGCCAGCGACGAGGACGACGGGCTCCTTGGAGTGCGTCTGGCACACCTTGTGCCTCCGGTTGTACCGCCCAGCCTCGCTGAGGTCGACGCCGCACCTCTCCACCTGGCACCTCGGCCCGCCGCCGCCGCCCGACGGGGCGCCACCGCCGGCACGGCCCGCGCCCCTCCTCGCCGCCGCGGCCACCGAGGAGGAGGAGGAGCTAGAAGACGCGCCAGCAGCAACAGCAGCGGACGAGGAGGAACCGCCGCCGCCGCCGCCTGCCACGGGCGCCAGCGACGACGCCACCAGCCTGGGCTTCTTGTCCTCCTCCATGGGGGACGGCAGCGCCGCCCCGCCGTCCCCCGCGGCCGCCGCGGCGGCGAGCGCGGCCATGGACGCGGCCGAGGAGGAGGACGACGAGGAGAAGTTCTTGCGGGCCTTGTCCTTGCGGTCCATGGGCGGTGGCGCGCGTGATCGACGACGAGCTAGTGCTACTGTGTGCTGTGTGCTAGCCTCCTAGGGGAGGTGGAAGCGGTGGCTGGAGGAGGGTGGAGAGAGCTAGAGCTAGCTCGAGCTCGAGCTCATGAGTGGAAGTGGAAGTGGAAGGCGGAGGAGGAGGAGGAGGAGGAGAGAGGGAGAGAGAGGAGGGGGGGAGGTGGAAAAGGTTGAAAGGGATATAAAGGCGGGTGCCGTGTGTGTGGAGGCAGGGTGCACATGTGGGCGTGGTACTACACACACGGCTACGGCCTACGGCACAGTATTCAACAGAGGACGTACGTACGTACGTGTATCGGTGTATGTATCTCTATACGTCAATACGTGCAATACGTCCATATTTTAGTTTCTTTTTGAGCCAAAGGCCGTAGCTAGAAATTAATTGGAGGCCTCATATGAAACGCATAATAAGACCCAAAATTTTGATGATACAGTCTAGAAAGCGGATCCAGACAGAACTAATAGAAGGGGCTCATACAAAACTATAGCCCTCTCTTCTAATGAATGTATGTATGACATAAAATTTTAGTGGGGCTTCATGGGAGTTCTTATGATTGCAACACCGGTAGTGGGGACTCGAGACCCCATATTCCTCATGGTAGATCAGCCCTAAGTAGAACAGAAATAACGAAAATTATACTGGTGACTTGAAGTTTGTTCGTGTCCTAGCGGCATCTTGACAATGTAGGTAAAAGAAGACCCGAAGAGACAAAGAGTCAAATACCAATAGAAACGCAGCGTTGTCTCCATTTTTTCTCCATTCAATAATTACTAGTGCTAATAGATTTGGGGCTTTAGTTTTTCAGGGGGTCGTGCGCAGGTTGCACTTGCCTACGGCTGTTTTGAACATTTCACTGAGTTATTATTAACCGTACTTCCACTAATAAAAAATACAAACAATTTTAGGTATTGGTAGGCTCCAATATACTCATTCGACCTTGTCTTCGTAACATTTAGATGATGTTGTTGAAACCACTAGGCAGGAAGAGAAAGATGGTGATGGACATTAGAGTTGGTAGAGACATCGAAAAAAAAGTGGTTAAATGGTGATTGATGATAGATCAAGGAGCAAGAGCCGCTAAGGCTGAGTTCGGAAGGAAGGGTTGAGAACCTCTCCCCTCCTGCACACAAACGAAGCATATATTAGCACACAATTAATTAATTAAGTATTGGCTTAAAATTTTTTTTGTAGAATCTTTCTTTGTATAAAACGTACTATTACTAGTTCGAAAAACATGTGTGCAAAAAAGAGAGAGTAGAGGTTGAGAAAAGTGAGAAACGAGCAGAGCTAAGGACGGAAGAATGGTAATAGGCAGAAAAATAAAATGTGCTAAGATTAAGGGAGAGAGGTGGAGGCAAGCGAGACCACATGACGTATCGTTTATTGGGTCTAGCATCGAGGGGACTATATCAGGAGCAGAGTACTCGGGCTCTTGGACTATTGTTGCTACTCCCTCCGTCCCAAATTATAGGGCGTACCCTTTTTAAGAAAAATCAAACTTGGTAGCTTTTAACTAATAATTATACTAACTATATCTATACTAAGTATTATGCATGTTATATTACTATATTCATATTTTGAATTATTTTCATGTGATGCTAATTTCATATTTATTGGGATCATCAAATAAAATAAAATACTCGGTTAAAGTATATTATTGAAGGCCGTATAAAATAAATATATGTCTTATAATTTGGGACAGAGGGAGTACTCCAATTAGTGTTGATGTCCATTAAAATTGGTTTATCATCATAAAACGCTATTAATCATCTAACCTCGACGGTGCCACTAGCTCTGCTATTGGACTCTTTCATTCTTCCTACATATTTTGTATATATACCTATAGTCGTCCCATTAAGTTTGGTGTGCATAAATTTATCAACGTACTCGCTGCCTAACGTCCGGAAGAATGAAATTTCAGCTAGCGCACGCCACTTTGAAAAACAAAGCTTGGACACTGTAGCACGTACTCCGCATACGGACGTCGCCCCTTGTACCACGATTAATTCCACGATCATTTTTTTTCTCCCTAGGCAGCAGATATACTAGCCCACGCCCCCCCGTCTACCACGATATGGGGATCGATATATCGATCACTACTCTCAAGTCGACCCAACCCGCCCGATCCGCACGCACGCGCGCGGCCGTTGATTTTCGTAGTAGAACCGAGCACGACGACGTGCGACCCCGCGTATGCAGCAGCTAGCGGCGACCGCGTACGACGACGTCGAGGAAACCGATCGCGATACAGCGGGAGTTTGCTCGTGCGAGACGGGGACGGACGACGCGCGCGCGCGCGCCGGGGAGAAGCAAGCAAAAGCTAAGGTCGTCGTTGTCGTCGTAGCAAATGCTACTGTACAGTTTAGTAGTTGGGGGTCCGGGCGCGCGCGCGGGCGCATTCACGGTGCAGGAAAATGTGTGGAAGCTATGGGCGCAACCGCGCAAGCGACGCCCGCGGCCGTACTAGTGTACCGGCCAGTTTCTCGCCACCACCAAAGTTTGACGGGCCGGGGCTCGCGCGCGCGGCGGGGCCCGCCACGTTAGCTGGGTGGCCGCGGTACTGAGGGGCCCCGGCGACCCGGCCGGCGCGCGCGGGGGACGTACGTACGTACTCCGGCTAGTGCCGTACATACGTGCGCGTGCATCGCGCAACGTGATAGTGGGGGTTACTACCGCGGTAAAACAGAAGGGGAGTCCTCGGTCAAACCCATGGCAGTATGCGGATTGTTCACGGTAGGAAAAGAAAGGAGATGTAGGCTGTGTTGAATTTCACCGGCAAAAAAAAAATACCGGGTCACATCGAATATATGAACACACATTTAAAGTATTAAACATATACTAATAATAAAATAAATTACATAATCCGCATGAAACCGCGAGATGAATTTATTAAGCCTCATTAATCCATCATTAGCAAATATTTATTATAGCACCACATTGTCAAATCATGGCGCAATTAGGCTTAAAAGATTTGTCTCATAATTTACACGCAAACTATGTAATTACTATTTTTTAATCAATATTTAATACTCCGTACATATGTTCAAATGTTTGATGTGACGGAGAAAAAGATTTGCCGGTGGATCTAAACACTCCCGTAGTAAAAGAAAAAGGATATGTGTACTACGTGGAAAGATGCACACACTACTACCGAAAATCAGATTGTTATCGATAGAAAAACCAGTAAGTGCCGGACTTCTCAACCGACATCAATGTAGAACTGGCCCCTATAAAAAATATAGGTGTTGGTTTCTACAATCACATACCTATGCTTACAAGAAAGGCTACTAATAGATCACTAAATGCTTGTTGAAATCGTGTCTATCCGTGCATAATATATATGTGGCACTATAATCTAAACTTTGCTATGTACATAGCACCTAAACTCCACCACTTTATATTTGATGTTTCGACTCATAACTGCTTTTTCTATTATATAAAAGATGCACACTTCACAACTGCTTAAAGAGATATGTATTAGCAATAAATCACTAAATTCTTATCAAAAGTGTAATCGCATGTGGGCAACAAAATTTATACGACTTTGGTTGGGAGAGTGGCACCAAGTGACCGACTCTAGCGTTGCATATTTGGTACTTCATTATTCATTATTGACTGTTCGGACCGTTATCATATACTTGGGTGTATATATAAGGATATGGTATGGAAAGAAATTTGAATGTTAGATGATTGATGGGATAAGTGCTATATATTATAAGTTCATTATATTCATGTATAAATTTTAAATGCTTAGAATATATACTTATATTTATATTAACTAGAAAAAATGCCGTGCATTACAATGGGTGAATGTTATTTTAATCTTATTATTGTTATACAGTTTAGATATGATCAAATTCACTGTGGGAATTCGCTTGGATATATTTTTTAGAAAATCATGAGCTGCAATTAGGAGTCCAACTTTCATCTCAAGTTAGCAGACAAGTTTTTTAAGAAATTCATACGACTTCTTTTGTATTTCTAAAAGCAAACGGACTTAAAGTCCGACTCAAACACGGATCTGTATTTCCAAAAGAGAACGAACTTAAAAACCGACTCAAATACGGATGACTTACCAAAATACCGGCAAAAACATCTTCAATTTTTATAATAGTATATAGAAGAGATTTATAGATAGATTTCCACGGTTAAACATGCTGTGAGTGGACATAATACATGCGTTTGGAGAAGAAGTATGCTCTCCTATTTTTGGTAAAGATTGAAACTACGATGTTTAATGGGAAGCAAACTTTTGCTTTTGCAGCATTCTTTTAGTGGACGAGATCGATGTACGTTATTAGTAAATCCATTCTACTAGTAGTAAATGTGGCGCTTTCACCTCTTTGTGAATTCCTGAAATGATGTCGATCTTTCGTTGTCATTCCAGTTGTGTAATCAACGATCGATTTTTTCTAACCTTGCATCAAAGAGATAACATTCCACTTATAAATATAGCTTCAGTGGTGGTGGTGAATTCCCTCTCGGGTTTGGAAAAAAAAAGATGCCACATATTATATATCCAAGCTTCTCTAGCATGTATTGCAGCAAGGACACGCACACAAGTGTGCCGCATGTTGTGTGAAGAGCGCTAATTTGTGGGTGTGCGTATTTTGTGTGTAGGACATATGGGGTGAGCATCCTCAATTGTACTCTCTCTCTCTCTCTCTCTCTCCAAATAAGTGATGGATTAAGAATCGACAATGGATTTCCTATTACACTCCCTAAAGTTAAAACTTTGTAAATCTCGCCTATAAATAAATGCTATAAGAGACTCCATATCCCAACCCCTCAATTTTTGAGGCACCATTACTTGGTGATCCCATATCGCACTTATTCTCTTCCAACTCACGCTAGTCAATCAGCCAAGCATCCTCTTCACTTCTCTCGCTTGCCTACCTGCCCGCCGCCTCTCCTCTTATTCATTGTCATTGGACAATTAAAATTAGTATATTATCATCATTGGGATCTACTTTTATTGTTTTAGAAAGTCTTGCTAGTTATCGTCGCCTTGGTTATTTACTGCCCCGCTATTTATTACCCCTCCGCTCGCCTGCCTAGTCCTCTTAGTTGTCGTCGATACCTTAGAAAAATAAACCTTATCATTACCTAGGTTTCTTTTCTAGTTTTTAAAGTCTCGCAAAACGCCACAGCCTTCCTCTCACCCCTCGGCTTCCTATCCACCATGA